TTCACAAGGATAAAAGTGCCCCTAGTTGAAGAAACGCCCATATATCCTCTAGTGACTTGCATTGCAGAGAAACCGTCTGATACAGACGACATCATTTTAATTAAAAGTCAAAACTTTAAATCAGTCACAAATTTCTGTATGCAAATGGTCCAAAGAAAAAAAAAAGTAGACGTGGGGTAAGATTTGACGCCCACTCAATTGTTTATAAAGAGCCCATAAAGCTTCCTTGTAACACTGTACATTTGCATTTAATTGAAGGATTTAAGTGTGTGCACACTACCTGTCTGCCATTGTTCATCATACAGGTGGTCCAACCTCAGACTCCAATGTTAATTTTGGCCCAGGAGGGTCACTCAAATAAACAGACCGCAAAAATTGTTTGGTGCTGCTAGCGGTGCAGAAATTTCTTTTTAGAAAACAACATATGCCAGGGTACTCACTTTCTGTGAAAGGCATGTTTACATGGGCAGATTCCCAACTCATCCTTCTGCTTGAATTCCTCCAAACACACCGCACAAATCTGGGGAGAGAAAACAATACATTCCAATGAACACACAGATAAAATGTTGAAATATAAACATTTTTGCCCTCAACATAGAAAACTGTTTCATTGAATACACTCAGCAAGTTATTACAAGAAATGGACGATACCCCCTTCAAAGATAAGTGAGACTGGAAGATATGTTGTAATTCTTGAGAAGATTTCTGCTGTTAACCTACAACTTTATGATAGACATAACATCGATATGCCTGGGAACATTTCTTTTAAAGCTTTTCCATCTTAAGCCATGAAATGGACTACACTCAAGACCTTTCCTTTGTAATCTATCAGTGAAGTGTAGCAGTTGGGGGTGCAGATATGACAAAAACCTTTCATGGACATCAGTTGAAATGCAGCATTTTCTGATTGCTGCCTAACATGTCTAGACCCGGTGCTGTAAAGCAGTGGTGGAGCAAGAGGGTGTCCAGGGTGGCACTAGACATCCCTGACATCTGATTGGCCATCCCGGGTGCCACCCCAAAATTGAATATGCTACTATCTAATTTTCTTTAATCATACTGAAAGAAGCATTTATTTTAGACTCAAACTCAAGGACGTGATGCGTCTGGTGTGCCGCATCGCGCTTCACCTCGTCCGGTGTACCTTCCAGCCTCTGCTAACTCTCACGCAACACGTTAATTTTCTTACAGAGTGAAAAACATCGCAGAACAAAGAGGACACAGACAAGAAAGAGCAGGTTTCTTTTGATAATGAGAAAAAGTCTCCATTCTGAAAACTATTTTATTTCCTATCTTAAAAAGACAACATTTTGTCACTGAAAAAATAATGAATTTTTTTTTACTGTAATTTTAAACAAGTTATATCTGTAAATCTTAACATTTTGCTAAAATTCTAGCAACAACAGCTGCCTTTTTTTTTAATTTTCAGAATATTCAGAATAAATCATACAGCCTTGACAACGTTTTAATTCACAATATAAATACCATTATAATACCTTGCTGTAATAATTCAGAATACAAGTGAAAGCTAAAAACCGATATGCTCAATAGCTATTTTTTTTCCAGGACATCTTCCAGAACTGTGTACAAATTAAATATTTCATTAACTTTGCTGACGGCAAACAAGGGGGCAGGGAAATGCACAGTACCAGTTGTAAGAGAACAAAAGTGGTTTCGGACAAATGTGCCTGGGCACATGGGTGTCTATCACAACAGTTATTTACTGTTCTGTGTGTGCATCATAAAACAAGATATAGTTCTGTATACAGTCCGAGTGCTTTAGGTGTCTTTGACCCTGAGCAGGGGGTGGCTGGCGAATTATCAAGACACAATGCTTCTCTGTCTGAGACAAGCGAGACTGCAAGCACACTGTTGGCTTTTGTGAGGAAAGAATGGCATTAACAGGCCAACAAGGGACATAATGTTTCTTCATAACACTAAACATGTAGCTAAATCCTGCACAAAACAGACACTGCTTTTTCTTTCACTATTACTTTTTATACTCCAACCAAGGCCAGTCTGGTTATAATAAATCATCCAGCCGGACCAGTGTCATTCTCATAATGGATATTAACAAAAGCTACAATAGTATATCAAAGATACTAAATAAAACTACTGTGGATCATCATGCATTTCTGCACAAGCTCTACCGTACAATGTGTGTGTGTATATAATCACCTTATAGGAAGGGTACTTAATGTTTCGAGAGCTGAGATTATATTCACTCATCTCGCACTGTATCTTATGTAAGATCAAGGACAGTGGTGAAAGTGCTGTGAAGCTGTATAATTTTGCTCATGAAGTCAACTGTTGCCAGATCACCTTTCTAACTCATGGGGGCTTGAACTTAAAAGCCGAGGCTACATGCTATGGTCGGACACTCCTTAATTCTTAAATCTAGTGAAGAACAATTCATAGCATTAAAGGGATAGTTCAGCCTAAATTTAAATTCTGTCATCGTTTGCTCACCTTCAAGAAGCTATAAGTCAGTGGTGGACAACATTGGATTTCTTTGTGTTCCACAGAAGTAAGTCATTCAGATTTGGAGTGAGGCTGAGAAAATGATGACAGAATGATGTTTGTTGGTGAACTATTCCTTTAAACATGGTAATATCACAGTTTATGATATTTCAGAACCAGATCTATGTTCCTCGGGGGGAAACGGTGGCTTTGCGTGGCTGTGAATGTTTGTAACCTCTAACTATGCTAGTGAAAATCTCTCATGCCTGCATACAAACATAACATTGTTTTTTCCCCTCTTTGGCTTGTGTGCACAGGAGGATGGAGGGTCCAATCAGCTTGTAGCTTGGCCCCACCTCTTCATGTAAGACCTTCCTTCTTGTCTGAGCACACATGCAACTGCAAACCAGACTTACCAGTACAGGCGAGGGGACTACTGACCCATTTATTTATAGAAACCTGTTTGTGGGAATGTGTTGTCTAATAAGTAAATGCTTTGTCTTAAAGAATTCCCATACTGCATACACAAGTTTATGCTAAAAAAAAACCTTCTAAACCACTGCAAGATTTGTCGACAAATCGCTGTTATCATTGTTAATGAGAAAAAAAAGAAATGAAATAAAATAAAATAACAAAAACAAAAACAAACCTGAAACTAAAAAACATTTTCCTGAAATATGATGCCTCTATATATTTTATTTTAAATGCAAATTTAGTTTAAATTTGTTTAATTAAAATAAATTCAAATGTATAATAACTTATCTTTTATATAATATATCCAAAAAGACTCATGGCTGTATTCGATCAAAAGGGTGCTTCTACTAAATACTGAGCAAAGGGTCTGAATATTTAGGACCATGTGATATTTCAGTTTTTTTTTTTTAATAAATCTGCAAAAATGTCAACAATTCTGTGTTTTTCTGTCAATATGGGGTGCTGTGTGTACATTAATGAGGAAAAAAAATTAACTTAAATGATTTTAGCAAATGGCTGCAATATAACAAAGAGTGAAACATTTAAGGGGGTCTGAATACTTTCCGTACCCACTGTATATATTTATATATATGCTATAAAACAGAAAATTTATATTTTATATGATTTATGTATGATGTTTATATTGTCTATATATTTATATATAAAACATAAGAGATTAAACATTAAAAAAGCTAAAAGTAATAGTAATAAAGTGAAAACTAAACTAAATTGAAAGGAAAAACTGAAAATAAACATAAACCTGAAATTCAAAATTTAAAACTATAATAACCCTGATCTGTTAAACTGAACAGTATGAGTGTAGATTTAAAAACTTAACCAACCCTTATTAAGTCTTTATAAACAATGTTCCAATATGCTGTAGTTTAAACTACAAATAAGGAAAAAAGCATCTACATTACATGTAATGTAGATTATATGTATAATCTACATTAGCATCACTAGCATCAATATGGCTGCCCACTGCTCCTACATTACATATAATGTAGATTACTACTTTTTCTACTGTAATTTTGTAGTACAATTGTCACAATTTTATGGTGGAATGGATTTAAATACAGTTAAAAATAGCTGAGAATACTAAGCCCTTATTGGTCGCTTAAAGCATAATCAAATCGTGGCCTAATGGTTAGAGAGTCGGACTTGTAACCTGAAGGTTGTGGGTTTGAATCTCAGGTCCGGCCGATATTTTCAGTGGGAGGAGTGAATAACCAGTGCTCTCTTCAACGACTGAGGTGAGACCCTTAAGCAAAGCACCGGGCGCCGCAGCAATATGGCTGCCCACTGCTCCGGGGGGTGTGTGTGTGCACTTGAATGGGTTAAATGCAGAGCACAAATTCTAACTATGAGTTGCCACACGTCACTTCACTTTCACTTTCAAATTAGCCTGGTTAACAGGTATTGTTACCTAACAATTATGATGGGAACACCTGCAAACTATAAAACATCTTCCGAAAAAAGCCAGTATCAGGCGCATGGATGAAAGTGTTTCCCCAAAGCTATTTGTGAAAAAAAATCTATATCAAATATAAAACCTTGAGTCTGACAAATGAGTGTCATGACTGCTGGAGCAGAAAGTCCAACGGCACATGTAGAACAGGGCTGTCCAAACTAGGTCCTGGAGGGCCGGTGTCCTACAGAGTTTAGCTCCAACTTGCCTCAACACACCTGACTGGAAGTTTCTATGCCTAGTAAGAGCTTGATTAGCTGGTTCAGGTGTGTTTAATTAGGGTTGGAGCTAAACTCTGCAGGACACCGGCCCTCCAGGACCAAGTTTGGGCAGCCCTGATGTAGAATACCATACAAACTGAGTTTACAAGTGCGGCTGACATTTGCTTGGCACTTCTGGGCAGTGCTGACGGTGCTCAGGCGGTGTTTCAAAAGATATGACTAATATAAATCACTAATTGCGCTGTTAATATTGATGACACTTCTAGCACTTCATGTACTAGACAAAAATGTAGTGGCTGGGAGAACTTTGTGTTCCTTTCCAAGATAAAATGTTACTAATTGTTTCGTTTGTTGCAATTGCTGTGCTGTTATATCAAATACAAATGAAAAGAAGCCAGACGCTACACAAGGCCGAGTATTCCAACAAATGCCGTCACTGTTTTGTTTAAATATTACATTGCATTCATGCACATACGCAGCCAGAAGACATAAAGGTTTGATTAAAATCTCCACCTGCTCTTTGTAGAGGAATATCCAACTTTACTCATGATGCTTAAAATACAACAATGTGAAAACAATTCCTCGACAATGAACTCTTATGAGATACAGAAAGGGAGTGAAGGGCTATGAGAAATTCCAGGACAGTTTGAGCATTCAGCAAGAGCTCTGGTGTCCTCACACCTCAATATTGTCGCTAACATTTCATTAGCACTCACATATGAAGTCAGGACACTGGCCTATTAACACGGTCATGTACAAACCATCGCGGTGAAGGTTAAACACATCATAGGCTCATGCTTTTATTAAACATGGAGAGCATACATCTCCTGTAAAACGTCCTCGTGTTCAGGGTGGAGGGTAGTTCAGGTTTAACAGTCTATATTCTGTATCCACTGAGAGGTAGAGTTTAACTGATATTCATTAATATAATGACAGACAGCTACTGTGGTTACAAGTGTAATGTCAATTAAGGTGACAATGTTAAACTTGAGCATTTGAAATTACTCAAAATACAAAAACACAGAAAAAAACCCTAGACTACAACTGTGAACAGACAGTGATAAACACCAGTGCTTGGAGTGTTGTAACATTTGACTACAAAAATACACAAAATACCAGAATTTGCATCAATGAATCATTTCTTATTAAATCTATTCATGTACTGTACAAAGCCCTGTAATAAAACAGTTCTTTTAAATAAATTTAATAAAAAACATTTTTTTGGCAAAAAATAGTCCTGACACTCCAAAAATGCAAATAATGTTAAAAACCAGTTTAGACAGGATTTGTTTTTTGTTGTTTTTTTATATTACTGTTAATTATTTTATGATTTTTGCTGAAAGATGTCCTTTAAATTTCATGTGCACATTTTTAATACCAAGAAAACACTTCCTGGCCAATACACATTATGTAATCATCTGAGAAAATGACTCACATGATTGGTCACAATAAATAAATAAAATAAAATCTCACCTCATGCAAGTTTAATTCTTTGACCTTTTCCTTTTGAATAACCTGTTAACAAAAAAAAACAATCAGTTTGTAACACTCCTATTCACACCTAAATTGTATCATACAGTAAATAATGTACATTTACATAATACAGTAGCCAGTTTGAACAGATATGTCAGCAGCTCACCTGCTTGTATGCATAGAGCTCTTTGTGAGCCTGGTGCCGTAACCTGGACAAAAGAAATCTTTGTTTGAGTTCAGAGTGTGACTTTACATTTTCATAAACCTGTGCTGGAGAGATATTGATAGTACCAAACTATATATAAACAAAGACCAAGATCAAGTTGAACCATGATACTAAAATACAGCCCACTTTAAATGGCAGTGTTTTTCACAGAGATTTCTGGGTGTGATTAAATGCTTCACTTCTGGACCTCGGTTTAAATATTCCAGCTGTATATGGTAAACACATGCCTGGACCTTATTTTTCAGCCACAACAATTTGACAAATTGTGGTCTTCACGACCCAAAAGGCATTGCTCCAGTCATCCTGATGATTATATATAGTATAAATTATATCCACCATATTTGAGCTTAATCATATAATTAAACACAGAGACATCCACTTTCAAAGATCTTCCTCTTGACATTGGCTGCGTCCAGTTCTAGCAGCGCTGTGAGCTGCCTGCCTTAGCATTTTAAAACTCTCTTCAGAGTCTTTCTAGAGTAGTTTGGGTCTTGTATTGTCTCATCAAGCTTGAACACACTTTAACAGCCTGTCTGAACCAGACTGCCCAGGCACTACCTTCACACACCGCTGCAATGCTTTACTGAGTGTGACTGTCAGACTGGAGCCAGACCCTTTAAAAGAACTATATACAGATACTCCTGGCATGAATTCAAGAAATGGAGGCAGCCAAGCAATGGACAGTCTACATTTAACACTATTTTGATCTTGAGCAAGTGTCACAGACAGAGAGAGAGAGAGAGTGAGAGAGCAACCCTGATGGAAAATAACTGGAATGCATCAGGCATGATGCAAGAGTCTCTGGTGTAAGAAAAAGGCTATTTAAAGAAAATCAGCAAATGCCTCACACACTATGTTTAGCCTCTAATTTGTTAACACTAAACTGTTAATGTCTGTACTAGAGCTGTTAGAACATTAGTCCTAGTCCAACAGCTTTACAAGACATTTATCATGGCCTTTTTTAATGTTTGTTTTGCTGAAACCCTTTTCATTTAGATGCTCTGAAAGATATGACATAATTTCAACCAATATTACTTCCTGTACAAAGGAAATGAACACTACATACGATACCACAGTATCTTGCAATCTGATCAAAGATAATACAGTATACATTCAGAAAAGACTTAGCAAGTGAAGAAAGAGTTGGATAGATATGAGAAAAATGGAGACATGTATTGTAAAATTTACCTCCATTACAAGTAAGCTTAACCTCTCGCAGCAGAGTGAGAGGGACCTGTAAAACAGGCAGCACAGTCTAGGAGAGAAACTGACATTCTGTAAGAGACCAGCAGGTAAAGGTGCAGATTCTCCCTTTGGGAGGATTTAGGGGTGAGGATGAGGGATTTATGGGTATTTTAGGACATTTTTTATGTTTATACTAATTGGCATGCAAAAACGAATCAAAACCAAAAAAAGCCCTGGCACTAATGTTGACGTCTAAAGGGCCACTCAAAATAATGTGTTTTTGCATTTAAAAATGCACAACGCAGCGCAATGGTATGAAAAAAGCTGAACTTTTTTACCTTAAGCGACGCACTTTTAGAATGCCATGTCATGCATAAGACACTGCAAAAGATGCAATGGACACACATGTCCACCTACCGCATATTTACAAAGGAAAACAATGGAAATGCACTGAAGTGGAATGCAAAAATGTGTTTTGTGTGAATAGCACCCAGTCTGTGATGGCTGGGTGAAAGTGGTCAAGTACCATTCGTTCTTCAAAGCAAAAATACGATCATAACGTGATGGGAACGCAAAATAACAAGATATTCATGTTTCATAATCATGGGCAAAATCGTACCGTGTAGTTCCTTCCTGAGGTCGGCTAGGTCAAGATAAACTGTCGTTTGACAAACTACAGGCAGTCATGATTGCTCACGCACCATTAGGATAATGTTCCAGTCCATCATGTAGAAAACCACCTTATAACCATTTCCCTGCATTGTAAAATAACTGGTACAGCTATTAACATGTCACAGTAAGTGCTCAATCTCAGACGTGTGTGTGTGAATTTTCGATTTTCTTCCCATGAGGATGACTGCGCCAGACGAACACTCCCCCACCCGGCTGTTTTCTTCTCCATGTGTGTGTTCGCCAGTCACAGGGGCATTTCGCATTTGTGTGTCAGAGCTGGTGCATGGCTGCTACGTGCGGCTGCGTGTGTTTGCTCTCAATCACGACATCCTTCACAGGTCCACTTGAGCTCACGACTCTCACGTTGTGAATGTCGCACGACTATGGTCCTTTATTCAGTCTATGATTTTCCTGATAAAATAGCAGTTTAACTAAACAGGTCAAGAGACCAGCTCTAGATATCTATCATTTCATAAGGAATTTAAAAGGAAAGCTAACGTGATGGGAACGCAAAATAACAAGATATTCATGTTTCATAATCATGGGCAAAATCGTACCGTGTAGTTCCTTCCTGAGGTCGGCTAGGTCAAGATAAACTGTCGTTTGACAAACTACAGGCAGTCATGATTGCTCACGCACCATTAGGATAATGTTCCAGTCCATCATGTAGAAAACCACCTTATAACCATTTCCCTGCATTGTAAAATAACTGGTACAGCTATTAACATGTCACAGTAAGTGCTCAATCTCAGACGTGTGTGTGTGAATTTTCGATTTTCTTCCCATGAGGATGACTGCGCCAGACGAACACTCCCCCACCCGGCTGTTTTCTTCTCCATGTGTGTGTTCGCCAGTCACAGGGGCATTTCGCATTTGTGTGTCAGAGCTGGTGCATGGCTGCTACGTGCGGCTGCGTGTGTTTGCTCTCAATCACGACATCCTTCACAGGTCCACTTGAGCTCACGACTCACGTTGTGAATGTCGCACGACTATGGTCCTTTATTCAGGCTATGATTTTCCTGATAAAATAGCAGTTTAACTAAACAGGTCAAGAGACCAGCTCTAGATATCTATCATTTCATAAGGAATTTAAAAGGAAAGTGTCTTTTACATAGGAATCCATGCTGAAAAGACCAACTTCATGCTTGTCTAGCTGGTGGACCAGTATAGCCATAACTAGTTAAGTTATATAGGAGGGTTAGTTTCACCAAAAAGGAAAATTCTGTTATCATTTACTCACCCTCATGTTTTAAAAACCACATTACTTTCTTTCTTCTGTGGAAAACAGGGAATTTTTTTTTATAATGTACTGGTCACCTTGTTAAATGCATTCACAATGAAATGGGACTGGAGCTTTCAAGCTTAATAAAGGACACAAAAGAACTATAAAATTACCTTAGATGTGGTCCAAACAACTATATTCCAAGTCTTCTGAAGCCATACAGTAGATTTGGTATAGAAAAGGCTGAAATGTACGTTTAGTGAGCTGTTTAGCACACTGGCCAGATCAACGTGACTGGACCAGTCTGATTATTTGCCATTTTCGGCTTGACAGCACCAGTCCTCAATCACTTTCATTGTATTAAAAAGAATAGCCAAGATATTCTTTAAAAATACACTTTTTGTGTTCTACAGGAAGAAAGTCATGAAGGTTTGAAATGCCTTGAGGGTGAATAAATGACAGAAAATAATTTTTCAGTAAGAACCCTGGTGGGTACAATAGCATACAGACAACCAGTAACCAAACACAACATATGCTGGTCTTCTCATTAGGGACGTCTCCATCCTGTCAAAAGCAACTGTTAAATCATGTAAAAAGCTGTGTATTAAGTGCTCTGTGTTCTCCCCTATCGTTTCAACAATGCTGAAGGTATATGTGGAGGTGAAAAATAGCAAGATAAAAATGTAGTGGAAAATGCAGCTAGGTGGAATGGTGGCCTACTATTTTGGTACTTGCTGAATTTGTGATTGTTGTCATTTCCATTATCCCCTGTTGGTGTAATGTACAGTATAAATATTTCAGAGCTGGTTTTCAGATGTACAGTGGCCCCACTAACATATTTTGTGAAATGTTGTAGGTGAAAAGTGTACTTGTGCAGTATTTTATTTATAAAATAAATACCAGTTATTTTGACATTTTATGAATTAATTATTATTTAAATGACGTTAATGCATTTTAAGTGCGCCTGAAATGTTTTTAGGGGCCACATACTGTTTGTGCATGGGGGCATAACAAATGTTTGCTGGTAATTCAGTGAGGAAGTTATGAATAACTGTGAACTAATTACATGCAAGGGAGACTGCATCTTTAGAAGCTTGGAATCTGGGCTAAATACAAACTTGTTTATAAATGACTTGGTAATCTGACAGTTTTTCATTCAAGAATCTAGTGTTTTTTTACTGGTATGACTAATATAAGACTATAAAAGGATACCAATACAGGTAAACATTTGAAAATACAATAAGGGGGGAGGCAAAGTCAAATAAAACAGAACTAGTTTATAATAAATGGGAAAGAACTTACCATCTTCCCCACTGGTTAGGGTGAATTTGGATGAGAGCCGCTGGTTCTCACTGTCTTATGTAAGAGATGCTACACAATTGCACATTAAAGCTTCAGTACCTCTGCTGCAAGGAATGTCCACATGGCAGTGCTCAAGACAAATCTGACTAGATGACAACAGCTCAATAGCTGAAGGAAAAATTGTTTCTTAAGCTTCATGAAGGACCAAATATTCCCATTTCTATGTGTTTGCTCATTGCCAGGTTCATTCTCTCTTGAAAAGTAAAAAAAAAAAATCAATGTCCTTCAAGTTGTGAAGCAGCTGCTGTATAGTTCACAATCCATAAGGGAAGTTTGTGACACAATGTAGTTTCCTCGAGGTTGAAAATGCATTGATTTGTGATCGGGCAACTAAGCTGCTTTCGGTTCAGTTATTGTGAAAATAAGAAGCTTTATATCAAGAACTTACCATCTTCCCCACTGGTTAGGGTGAATTTGGATGAGAGCCGCTGGTTCTCACTGTCTTATGTAAGAGATGCTACACAATTGCACATTAAAGCTTCAGTACCTCTGCTGCAAGGAATGTCCACATGGCAGTGCTCAAGACAAATCTGACTAGATGACAACAGCTCAATAGCTGAAGGAAAAATTGTTTCTTAAGCTTCATGAAGGACCAAATATTCCCATTTCTATGTGTTTGCTCATTGCCAGGTTCATTCTCTCTTGAAAAGTAAAAAAAAAAAATCAATGTCCTTCAAGTTGTGAAGCAGCTGCTGTATAGTTCACAATCCATAAGGGAAGTTTGTGACACAATGTAGTTTCCTCGAGGTTGAAAATGCATTGATTTATGATCGGGCAACTAAGCTGCTTTCGGTTCAGTTATTGTGAAAATAAGAAGCTTTATATCCATCTACATGGAAACTACCAGCCAAATCCAAGCAGGGGCAAGCTCGTAATAGTGTTTTTTATTTTAAATTCAGATTATCAAGTCAGTAGTTTTCTTAGCTTCTCCAAACTGTGGTGTTTGACCTTCTCACTCTTCATGAAAATCTTTGTTAGTGCATCGAACAAAAAAATTTAAAGTAACAAAACCATTTCAGCGACAATTAATCATGATCTTCCTTCAAAATGCCAAACAATTACCTTGCTGTCCTGATCATCGCTTATTTAGGAATTTCAGAAGCTTAGGATTTCATTTACAAGCTGAAGACACCATCCCCAAGAAAATGCTGTTTTGCAGTAGAGCTGTTCAGGCATGCCATCAAGACATGGTTTGTAGACCAACCTGGAAAGGCTAATTTGCCATGGGCTCCCATGGGAATTGGACTGAATGTGTATTTTAAAAATATAAATGAATAAATAAAAATCACATTACGGTATGACAGTGTAATTTACAGAGAAGTCTATATAATGAAATGCTAATATCAGACCTTATTTTACTCATAAACCTAAAACTAAATCCAACATTTCAGAGGGAACCCATTCTGAAACGGAACAGCTCTATTAGAACAAAACAACAACAAACTGTGTTAATGTGTAGGATTAGCTTCTCAGTACTTAGCAAAAGTATAAATGCATAAAATTTGCAGATTTATCTCAACGTCTTTATTGGACAGCCACTAATAATTAAGGCATGGCTCTGAAATTCAGACCTGGTTCAGTCTTCAAAGTAAGCATGATAAAAGCTGCCTCGCATGGTATGAACACGGTGTGAAGATGAAAGAGAACTGTTACTTTTATATTTGTGGTGTAATTGTGCCTTTAATGACATACATTGGTCCTGATGGCAACACTCTACACCACACGTTCCAACTACACCCACTTGTTCATACAAGGTGGATTTCCTTTTTCATGAATTTAAGGCATGGCTCTGAAATTCAGACCTGGTTCAGTCTTCAAAGTAAGCATGATAAAAGCTGCCTCGCATGGTATGAACACGGTGTGAAGATGAAAGAGAACTGTTACTTTTATATTTGTGGTGTAATTGTGCCTTTAATGACGTACATTGGTCCTGATGGCAACACTCTACACCACACGTTCCAACTACACCCACTTGTTCATACAAGGTGGATTTCAAACAAATCATGATGCAAATTACTCTTAAATGTGTGTTAGCCGTTTAATTACAACAATTCCGTTTTGTAGCCTATATATTTAGGGATTAAATCAGACTTTCAAACCCTGTAACTGGCTGAAGAGGATAAATAAGCAAATGTATGGCATTTTGAGGCTTGTCCAAACACATTCTGCTGCCGCACACATAGAAGAGCCTGGTGGTCTTACCGAATCAGGTAACAGCAGAAGAGTAGGCTGAGGATGAAGACGAAAATGGCCGTCCCAAAGACCACAATGTAGATATTGAGGGGAAGGTTCTGGAACCCTATATTCGGCATCCTGAAACTGTAATGCTGTAAATCTGAGGTCATGGATAACCTAGAATGAGAGGGAATAGAGACAGAGAAACATCAGCGAGTGATTTATTGATCACAACACTAAATGCAAGTGCAAATGCTAGCAGACCACATGCCCATTAGTGCAGTAATCCATTTATGCTGTGTCAGCTCAGTCTCAAAGGAAAATAATCACCCTGTCTGTCGATGCACGTATAAGCGAATGTTCTTGTCAGTATGACTGTGATTTGATATGTGGCTTGGCTTGATTTCTGGACGGTTTCCACAACAACTGCTTATGTACCCAACAGACCAATGAATAAACTCATTAATGCATTAAATTGTGCATTGGGCAGTGCATGTAATATTCTAGGGGAGAGAGTTTGAGAACATTGGTCCTGCAGGAGCCATTAAATTATACCCACACTGTCTGTCTGTGGGAAATTAGTGTTAACTAATCTACTGAGAGTCAGCACAGCTTTGACTTGGTCCCTTATGAGCATGTTTTTTAGATATTTAATCTATCATATATTCACTTCTGACTAGAAGAAATACTAAAAATTTAACCCTAAAATTACTAACAGAATACCAACGTTCTTGCCAAAACGTAAATTCAGTAATGGATTGAGTACAGTCACCCCAAAAAGTATTTGGACACTTCAATTTCAATGTGTTAGAAAGCATCAAATAAATAAAATATCAAATAAAATGTAAAACAAGAGCCAAAATGTAAGGGTCAAACGTTTCAAAAAGGATAATAAAACAAAGTCACCTGCATTAAGGAGAACTGTTTAATAAAACTTTTAAATAATGTATTTAAGGCAAGACATGACTGTATATGCAAAACCATTGTTAATTCAGGTACTGGTGGATTTTTGGGCAATTTTGCTTTTATAGGTTGTTTTCTTTCAGACTAGTGGAAAGAAAACATCCAAACATTGGATTATTACAATTTAACTATTTCTGTCTGTATTTCAATTACAGTACATATCTTTAAAGGCTGCTTTCTCAAAATTTGTCGTTTATCTTGCACTAAGCCGGAAATCTCCACTTCAGTAGCACTTGCACACATTAAATTTAACAATTTTATTCCTATTGATTGAATTTGCTAATATATCATTCACCTGATGTATATATTTAACATTTCATTCTTAAAAACATGGGGTGTGAGTGTGTGTGTGTGTGTGTGTGTGTGTGTAAATCTTTGTTTGTTTATGTGTGTGAGAGTAAGAGTGGGACATTCTTTATGATGTTACTCCCCCCAGTGCGGGCATGTCTGGACATGCCTTTAGTAGACAAGAGATATGTGGGACAGTGTGTGTGTGTAAACAAAGGGGAAGGTATAGAAAAACCGTGTGATGTAACAGCACATGCAGCTGGGTGTTAGCCATTATACTTTGTTCTCTCAGTCTTGGAGCTGCTATACTCTCTGAATGTGAGGGCCTTTGACACATTCTGAAATGCTCCCACTTTCCCGTCTGTGTCTGTACAGCTTTACCCATGCAAAGCTTTCTGACAGATGAGGGTAAATATACAAACAGAAAATCAATAACCAGCTGCCTTTACACACACACTGTTATATCAATAACAGCATCGCTTACTCTTACCGATACAGTATGTACTAGTAAACTATGAATTTTTTAACCTAGTTTGAGGTCTGAATCTGTCAGGTTCATGATGCAATTTTTCCTCTGTGGCAAAATACGATTGTACAGCCATTAATTGTCTGAGCTCTTGCGGCCTGGTTCTTGTCACAAAGCCAAAACATACATACATACTGACATTTTAATGTCCTCAAACACAAAGTTGCATGTCCTTGAGAAAATCCTCAAGTTCAGGACATAGAAAAGAATCCGGAAGGACCGACATGTTAAAAGAATGATGGGTTGGGCATGTTGAATGGGTTCAAGGTTGGGAGAGGCTCCACTGGCTGCAGGCAAGTACTTATCCTCCTTTTCCCTTCAGGACCCCAGTGTCAGTGGTACTATTCATTTTAATATCATGTCTGTTGAATGATTACCTGCTTGCAAAATTTGCCACTTTTTAATATATTTTAAAATGCAAAATATTCCTGTGTTTGCATACCTGAAGCAGCCATTACTGCAGACTTCAGTGGCACATGATCCTTGAGAAATCATTCTGATATGCTGATTTTGTGCTCAAGAAACATTTCTCACTGTTATCAAAGTTAAACAAAGAGACACATTGATCTGAACAAACATTAAAAAAAGTAAAAAAAGACAGATATTCATTGCTGATAGTAATTGAGCAAAAACGTCTTTACTTGTAATTGGTTTGCCTCCAATTTAATGCAGGGTCTGTGTCATGTTACAGTGAGTTGCTCAGAGACAAGAAAACAAAGTATGAGAGCTGGATGCATTTGTCACAACATCACTTTCACCCCAGTTAACAGTCGCAGCATTCCAACTGAGATTTGTGTTTATCAACCATAATGAGGGCAAACTGAGTAAAAGGGGTTTTGATAGGTTAAAATATCCACCACAATCATAAAGTATGCACTGATGTGAAAATTCTGGGCCGATATCAATAACAATTAATCAACAGCTTGTTGTGTACTTTACTTTATGAAATTAGGAATTAGTAAATGCATCATACAGATCAGACAGTCTTGTCATATCATTAGAAATATCTCATCACTGAGACACTAAGATAAACCCAGTAAAACTAAATAAATGAGTTAAAATATTGGGCTGTAATTAAATTTTTTGTATCATTAATAATAAACTAATTTTATCCAGTGAGTGCATATAACTGCTGCTATTTCAAATACACAGTTCTATCTTTTCATTGCAAGTTTTATCTTGTAGGTAATGAAACAACTTACTGAGTGAAGTGATATTGCTCTGCAAACTCATTTTTGCCTATAGTCAGCTCAGAGCAAAATTCCTCATCCGATTTTGCTTATGAGTCTCATCCAGCATAGAAAAAAAACCCATTCAAACAAACCTGGCTCTCTCACATAAATGTACTTAAGCTGAATCTTTAAAAGCAGCTATCAAATTTGACTTTATAACCATTTAACAGATCTTAAATGTGAAGAACTACAGCACTGATTTATAGTGTAAATGATTACAATTTATGATTTTATGGCACTGTTAGGAAAAAATCCTTTGTTTACTCAAGACATAACAAAAATCCACCTTGGGAGTGTTAGGGATTTTCCCCAAATCTGATCCTGTGATTCCGAGATGTTTCTTAAATGAGCAATAGGCATCTTTCCTTCGTGTCTCATTCTCGATGGACTACAGTAAGATGGTTATGTAACTTTCAGGAACCTTGCCTGTAAAGGGAATCTCCAATAGTGAGCAGATCAGATGGTCTAAAAGCTTTAGAATTACATGTCAACTTCTCAAAAGAGAGAAGACGGAAAGCTTGCAGAGGTCGCAGCAGGGACACCACAAATGAAAACCCCCTGTGAACCGCAGTGACAGTTTCACGTTCCAGCTTCTGCTAAGCAAGAGAGTCGCAGACACCAAATGTATCCCGGAGCCACTGTCCTGCTGTGGAAGACAAGTCGAACCACAATAGGTATTTTTAAGTGTCTGTCAGGCCATTGCTGCCTCCCAAAATGAAGGGAAGTGAAACTAAACAGCTTCTTTTTCTGATCTTCCATACCACAGGGTGCAATATCCAGTCTCTTCTCGCCCCTACTTCCCATTATGTCACCAAACAAGGTCATTCTGCAATGCTCGGCTTGCTTTAACGACACTGCCAAATGGTATTTTCACCTCCACTGAGGAGGAAAAGCTTTTCAGTAGAGCAGAGTCACTCTCAGAGCTGAGGGGAAGTGCAGAGTAACACTGTGGCCCTTGCTTGTTCAAAATGTGCTGCATTTTAAAATTCTTAATATACTCAGATGGGTTATAAAACGCAAACTCTTGGGCTTAAAAGGTTCTGACTAAACAAAATGATTCACATACAGTGAGCCATATGCAAAGCAGTAGTTGTCAGGGATCTGGAAGGAGGACCCAATTGCAGTGAGTGTAACAAAGGTTTATTGACAAAACAGATCAATACAAAAGGGTTGTGAGGTGCACAGGTGATACCACAACAGGAACACAAACAGATAGCTAAGGAAGGCCACTGGAACAGCCTCAGACATCAACTGGCAGAATACTATAGCAGCAGAGGCGGCAAACCCAGGCCGGGAGAGAGACCAGAGCAAGGCACCAGAGAGCTGAGCTCAGATACTTGTCGACCATAAACTCTGAAGCACCCCAGACACCAGGCAAGGGAACCAGTGGACAGGAACAGGTCAGGACCTCTAACACCACAACAAGACAAAGCATAGCTCCACAGAAACACAAATTACTCCAAGACAGGCAAGAGAATAAACAAAATGACTAAATATTATTAAAGTAACCAACACAAATAACCAAAAAATGAACAAAGATCAGGACTAAGAGAACTAAATGAATACTAAATTAAAGGCAAAAAGGTCAAAAACAGACCACATCCAAAAACAAGGAGCAAGACAAAAACATAGAATTACAAGAGACAAGACTAGGGCAAGACAAGAGCACAAGAACAAACCGACAGGAAGACAGGAACACATAATCAGCCAGAGCCAGAGACCGAGACCGAGACCGAGAGGGAAAGAATGACCACAAACTAGCAAAGACAATAGGGCAAGTGGCACTATAAATAGGGAGGAAATCACACAAGGAACAGGTGAGTGCAATTACACTAACAAGGACTCAATGAGGGCTAACAAGAGGGTGTGGTAAATAGGAAACCAGGAGGAGGGGCTAAAGCACATGGCTGAGAAAAACAAACAACTAGGCCATGTGCTGACAAGACAACAGACACAAGAAACAAAA